ATAAATGAAATGGGCTGAGGATAAGACAAGCAGGGCAGCAACATATTATGTACCCAATGCCAGCGGGTTTGGGGAGAAGATAGGAGGGACAGAGACTATGGGAAAGTGCAGAGTCCAGTATGTAAAGCTGATTGCTGCATCCAGGAATGAGGGAAGCTTTTGTGTAATCAGAGCTTCTGATTTCTTAAGAGAAACCAGAGAGTTTTATTTTGTGTGAGCACGAAAACTCCTAATTATTTAAACGTTAGCTACTATTTTGCAACTTTAAAACCTGGTGGGGGCCATCCCCGAAAGGCCAAACAAAACATGTCTGAGGGTCAAATCTGGCCCCGAGGTGCCCTTCTGTGACTATGATTTACACACTTATCCCACTATTCCTGTGTTCCCAGCTTTTCTTAGAGTCCCTCCTGAAGACATCCTTAATGGCAGCTGCTCCGGATGTGTCCTGACGGTGCAAAGATCTTCCACAGAGTACTTCATGCACCTTTACATGTGGACACTGTAAATAATTTTTCTCTTGAAAAGTTAAATAGGCCTTGAATCAATCCAGCAGGGTCGCTCGCCATCTGGGAGTCCTCAGAAATGGTGAATGGTCGGCACTATAAACATTTTAGATTTCATGGAAGATACTGACTTTTTCTAAACTAATCACCCCTGCCAGTCAAGATTTGCAGTATGGGTTCAAGAAAAAGCGTTCATTTAACAACAATAACAAAAACAGTGAGGATAAAAACCGGACGTTCATCGTAATGATAGGCCTAAAAGCCAACTGTGACTTCCCTAATAAGGCGACGACCGAAGTTGTCTCCCTGGCGGTTGAGCGCCAATACGATTAATCAGTCTGTTTCCAGTTTCCTCATGACAGTAATATTAACAGTTTGCTTTATTCTGTTTATATAGCGCTGACAGGTCTTCAGCACGTTGGGCCTACTTGCTGGAGATTAATGACAACTTTTATATGGAGGTAAACACCAGGCAGGGAGAGAATGCCTTTTACGACTAGATAAGAACTGGATTCTCTTGCTCTAGTTTTGTTCGCCTGTTGCTCATCAACTCCTCCCTCTTTTAACTTCTATCGAGGATATGTATGGTTAGTTGTGCCCAGCAGGTGCTTCTCACTGTTTAAACCACCCCACTCTAGAGGTGGTGCCCGCAGGTGAAACAAAGGGAACCTTAAGTAGTGTTTTTGAACATGCTTATCATCGCTAAAAGTACTGTTGGCTAATTTTGTTTTTAAAAAGTCGGATTCCATACACAAGTGAAAGATGATTGATAGGCAAGAGATGGCTTTGGTGACAGGAATTTAAGCATGTGGGGTGGGCAATGGTTCCCCTTTGTAGCTATGGTTATTTTTATAGACACTGAAGAAAGCGGAATTAGTAAGCATGGCCCAGCTGTAAGAAGTATGGACATCCCAGAAAAATCTCTTAGACATATTTCACTAGATAGTCATATTTCAAAATAAATCAAAATGATTTCTAGCCTCCCTCTAACTCGCCACCTCCCCGCAAAGTTATGAGTACTGCTTGCTACTGGTATACTTTTCTCTGTGCCAGGTTGGAGAGCATGGTAACCTAACCCCAAACATTATGTTAACAGTATATAAATATAGAGAAACTAAAATAACATTAAAAAAAAAAATCAATCACCTCCTCTAGGGCTCTGTAGGAATCACTGTCTCATTCTTTGCTCTTAGGGAGCCTCCTGCTCCTCCAATTTTTTCTTTTTTTTGCGGTACGTGGGCCTCTCACTGTTGTGGCCTCTCGCGCTGCGGAGCACAGGCTCCGGACGCGCAGGCTCAGTGGCCATGGCTCACGGGCCCAGCCGCTCTGCGGCATGTGGGATCCTCCCGGACCGGGGCACGAACCCGTGTCCCCTGCATCGGCAGGCGGACTCTCAACCACTGCGCCACCAGGGAAGCCCTGCTCCACCTATTTTTATGCAACAAACGCTCAGATAAGTGCATCCCGCGTACCCAGGAACCGCAGGCCCTGGGCCCGGCTGGCCCTCCAACCCACTTCCTCTTGCTCACCCCTCTCCTGATACAGTGAGTAGCAGAAGGAGCCTGATTCCAGTAGACAGAGACTCAGGGGTAGCTTTTAAGGAGAATCTTTTAACAAAGATTTTAAAAGCTAGAGACAAGAATAGTCTAGGATAAGAAAGCAGTATTAGGACTTCCTGGGTGGTGCAGTGGTTAAGAATCCGCCTGCCAATGCAGGGGACACGGGTTGGAGCCCTGGTCCGGGAAGATCCCACATGCTGTGGAGCAACTAAGCCCGTGAGCCACAACTACTGAGCCTGCTGTGCTCTAGAGCCCGCGTGCCACATCTACTGAGCCCACATGCTGCAGCTGCTGAAGCCCGCGCACCTAGAGCCCGTGCTCCGCAACTAGAGAAGCCACCACAATGAGAAGCCCGTGCACTGCAACTAGAGAAAGCCCGTGTGCGGCAACAAAGACACAACACAGCCAAAAATAAAATAGAATAAATAAATTTTTAAAAAGCAGTATTAATAATAATGGTATCTATAGAGTGTTTACTATGTACAAGCACTACTGTAAGCCCTTCACTTGCAAAAACCCATTTAATTCCCACAACAGAATGCACTGAGGGAAGAGTTAAATAATTATTTGTGTTTGAAGTGCAGTGTTTGAGAGAGTAGAACAATATACTGGATTAGATTGGGGCAGATCTTTAATTCCATACTTGTGCTTTAATAATTTGTCTGATGCGAAGGTTCAACTGGAGAGCAAAGAAACCCAAGTGAGACAGAAAGTCAGAAGGATACTGTAATAGTCCTGAGACTGAACCAGGGGAGTGCACTGGAAGTGAATAGGAGAGGAAATATTTGAGACTTATCCCAGAAACAGAAATGTCTTTTGGCTGATTTGGTTTGTTCTTTAGTTGATTTGTTCATTCAGCAATTTCTGAAAGTTTCAGATAGGTCAAACACTGTGCTAAGAGACACGGGGAAGTAAGAAAAAGAAGAATTTGAAGATGACTCCTTCCTCAAAACTGGGCTACTAGCCACTGCTCAGTGGTCTTAAGTGACGCTGTAACAGACATCCATCTATCACGCATCCCTCCTTCCATCCATCCATTCAATAGTTACTGAATACCCGCCTTGTGCCAGGCACTACACTACATAACGGTCATGAGCAAGTCCAGGAAAGAGAAATGAAGGAAAAGGAAAAAAAGACTACTATTTCCTTTCTCACAGCCCTAGGAATGCTTTTTTTCTAGAACTTCCATTCCTTTCCTGGTGGTCTGGCCATAAGGCGCAGTACATGGTGGTAAACCACCAAACTGCTGGAACAGCATAGGTATTCTTAGTCATCCATATGAAGACAGGATCTGCTATTTAATTTCTAAATGTGTGCCCAGATCTGACATATTTAACCAAAGCAAAACATTATATCATAAAGGTATCTAACATGATTCCCATGTGTAGATTTTATTTATTTATTTTTGCTGTACACGGGCCTCTCACTGTTGTGGCCTCTCCCGCTGCGGAGCACAGGCTCCGGACGCGCAGGCTCAGCGGCCATGGCTCACGGGCCCAGCCGCTCCGCGGCATGTGGGATCTTCCCAGATTGGGGGGACGAACCCGCGTCCTCTGCATCGGCAGGCGGACTCCCAACCACTGCGCCACCAGGGAAGCCCCCATGTGTAGATTTTAATATCATTTAAAAATATAGGCATGGGAAAAACCTGCTCTGAGCAAAGCCAAAAGGTACTGAAAGTAATAGAACATACTTTCAATGTTAAAAATCTTGTGTCTAGTTTAGTTGGTGAATTAGTTTGAGACACATAATTTTATTGCCTTTCAGGCAAAGCCCTGATCTTTAAAATTAAGATTTGCCTAGACTTTACAAGAGTAAATCCTGACCACTTTCTAGCACTTTCTGAAAAACAACTAGGTAATAGAATGACTACCACTGAGAAGTATTTTGCTTTATGGCAGCTGCCTTTTCATTATTATTTTATGAGAGCTTGTCTAGATATTATGTATCCCTTACCATCTACATTTAGTTCTTTTCAAAACATCTCTTCAGATGCCTGGGGTTTTGTCAGTTTCTTTGGATCTTAATTGGATTTCAAATAGCAAACGATATCACTTTCCAAAGGTTCTTATTCACATAGGCTTGCCTCCAAAAATCATGACTAATGTATGCCTTTAAATTTCTATTTAAAAAAAAATTAAAAGGTATGTTTAGGGACTTATGAACACCATCAACAATTATTTCAAGTATAAGCTAGTTCACATATGCCCAGGGTGAGAATTTCAATGCCAATAAAACCTAACTGTAAAAGAAGGAGTCTGATGAGAGCAGGCACATTTTAACTTCACTTTTATGTTGAGGAGCTGAGCCTGGCATGGACTTGCGTGTTCCATAAACTCTGAGATAACCAAGCTATGGATAAGCAGCCTATGTCAATGGTAACATGAAAAGGCAGAATCCTGGGCCTTTTCATGTTTTGTGCTTGTTGTTGTTTTTTAATGCATTTTAATTCAAGCTCTACAGCCTGCATCATTTACCAAGTTCGCTTCTGTCTGCAAAATAAGATTTGAATAACCACCTACTAATTTCCCATTGAAAAAATGTTTTTAAGTTATGAAATATTTCAAACATGCTTATTTTTTCCTGATGATAATATGAACTGAACTTGAGGGAAATACAAAACACTACATAAGTGATCAATGAAGACACTCCAATGAATATTATCTCAAGTTAACCTACAGGTAAAGAGAGGTCTTCACCATTGTGGGAACTCGATCCATGGGTTAAAAGCCTTCAGTTACGCTGAGATATTATTTTCATTGTGCTTGGCTCAACCGGATAGAGGCCCTCGGAGGAAAGAGCCAAAGATGAGCCCGGAGGGACAGCCACAGAATTCGAGACACTCCACGTTGTAAAGGCCCTTGGAGATCCTCTAACCACCCTCCCGGGGCGGGAAAAGAAAAACAAACCGACGCCGTCTGACATTTATGACTCTTACCTGCGGCGCAGATCCTCGGCCACCGCTGCCCGGCAGCTGAACAAATAGGCTCGCAGTGATTTCAGCCGCTGCCGCAGGCGCACCACGGTGGCCAGCGGCTCGGCGTGTCCGTACAGCATGGGGTTCTCCTGCTGGATGTCGATCAGGGGCTCTTCGTACACGTACTCCAGAAACTCTTTGGCCTGCTTAGACACCTACAAAAGAAACTGCTCCATCAGCGCTGGCGAATCACCCGGCTTTCCACACCTCTTCCAACCAGGAACCACAGCTTAAATATCAAAGTAACATCATCTTCTGAACACAGCCAAATGAAAAAGCCCATAGTGTAACTAAGTATAAAGTGTGGCTTTTCTTTCTCCCTTCCAGAAACGCAATTGGTAAAAGTAACCTGGGCATTGAAAGGAATTCATTAACTCTGTATGTTGATCATGTGATTGCACAAATCTACATGTGATAAAATGACACGGAACTATACAGACCCAGTGTACCAATGTCAATTTCCTGTTTGTTAGTTTTTTTTAATTGTACTGTAGGTATTTAAGATATAACCCGTGGGGAAAGTAGGTAAAAGATACACAGGACCTCTCTGTATTATTATTATCTATGCAACTTCCTGTGAATCTATAATTATTTCAAAATAAAAATTTAAAAAGAATTCATTAAGACTTTTTTTTTAACATCTTTATTGGAGTATAATTGCTTTACAATGGTGTGTTGGTTTCTGCTTTATAACAAAGGGAATCAGCTATAGGCATACATATATCCCCATATCCCCTCCCTCTTGCGTCTCCCTCCCACCCTCCCTCTCCCACCCCTCTAGGTAGTCACAAAGCACCATTAATACTCTTAACAACAATGCTGACTTTAAAAACTAAAACTATGTGCACATATACGTATATATAGTCTATAACACTCTTTATAAAGTAGCCACCTTAAAAAGATAGGTAAACCACGCACATACTACAAAGTTCAAAAGGAATAAAAGGATCTCTCCCAAAAAAGGGGAAGAAAGGATATTATATGCAGAACAGTGTGCATAGAAAATAGGCTCAAACACACACTTGCATAAGCAGAAAAGAGTCGCTCTTATTAGAACAGCTCTGAGCTTAGGCTGACATTGGCCAATAGATCCATCCAACTCTATATCCACTTCTGGTAGTAATCATCAAGAGTATGAAAGTTGATTTTAAAATGTCATTGTCATCCAAAGAAATAAAGAGAAGAAACACATCTGAGATACAGAGGGAGTAGCTTAAATAATGCATAACCCGTGGGTAGTTTGGGGGAATCTTTACATACCAATTCACTGATACTGGAGACCACAACAGGCAGGGCCCTGTCCTCATGTAGCTCACAGTTCAGCGGGGAAAGACAGAATTGGGTTCAAATATTTTGTTTATTGTGGTTAAATATTTGCTATATTTAAAAATCTTAAATGAGGGGAAAAAAAGGATGGTGTTCTGGAAAATGAAGCACAATCCACTTGAAACTGTTGCCGAAGAGTGATGTATTGTACAATTCAATTAGTCTTTCTGGCTCTATTGAGCAGTGTTTATACTGAGCCAGGTCCCCCGCTGAATTAGGTTAACAATGCTACCTTTTAGTAGGTGAACAGAAGGACAAAGGGCACTGGCCAGTCTCCCAGGCCTTAAAAGGCTTCTCTCTTCAGGTGGTACTTAAGCCCAAATGGGAAAAAAAAAAAGTCTTTTACAGAGACAGTAAAAGCAGTGAGACAAATGGGATGGCAGCTACTGACATCAGCATTCATACACTGAAATTACTAAAAACAAAAACAGAGCTAGTTTCAATAAGGTCTAAGGCTTCACTAAGTTATTAGCCAGTGTTAAGAATACAGAGCATATTGTGACCTTGGCTGCCTGAGTATGTGAACAAATAAATTCCTGCCATGTTGAGCCGTTTTGGGCAGCAAGGCACATGCTCATTTTTTGAGAAACGACCACTTACATCAGTGAGGGAATTTTTGAGAGAACTCAATATTTGGCATGAAACGCTATTTTTGTAAAATAGGAAATGAGTGGGGATACAGTGTCCTAAGTTCAAAACCACCCTCCATACTGATATGAGCATTCTACTTTCAAACTCAACTGTAATTAAAAAGCTTTTTAAAAAATACATAGTTACTTAAGGAAGGAAGCCAATGATATTCTTAAGTGACAAAGTTTATGTGAGAGCAAGTTTCCTTCTTATTAATAGAAATATTTCATGAGTTATATGTGAACACCAAATAACATTCTACCTAGGAGCCAAGAGCTACTGTCCTACTTCTTGCCTACCAAATTATGAAAAACATCAAAAGCCTGAGTGCTGTTTCTGATATGAAAACTCAGCTCGTAAGTGCAGATGGATAAGCCCACTATTCTTTCCTTTAAAAAAGTGAACGGTTTAAGTTGGCATTCTTTTTCATGATCCTACTCTACTCACATCAGTAGCAATTTTTATAGGTTGACAGTTCACTTTTCCAACCTATTGGCCTGTTAGTATTTTACTAAATAATATTTAATATTTATTAATGATATTAGTATTATCAATATAAAACAGTTTCTTTCCATAGGTCTTTTAACTTAGAATAGTTTAAGCTATAAGAACTCCAGTCTCTGACTGTGGTTTTGTTGCAGTTTGTGAACTGGTTCTCTCTCCACAGCCCTGCCGTCAACATGATTCAAGAGAGTTGAGGCGGAAGAGGTCCAGGTAGAAACAGGTCTCCTACCCATCTCACACTCAGGAGGAGTTGGAGAAAAGGCACAATCAGGTTATAATTTTCCACAAACTAGTAATGACAAATCTCCTAGATACACATATGTATTTATAAATAAGCCTGTTGTCATTTGATTTTAACATTAAGCATCATTGGTATAGATTTCAACATAATACATCTTTTGTTATGCTGGTGACAACTACCTCTGAAAAACAAAATTCTCAAATGTTCAGGTTTATGTAATTCTGAGAGGTTCCGGAATGGTGTCCTGGTATGTTCCCCCACAAAAAGAGTCCTGGGTAATAAAGCAATGGGGCAGAGGCAATGTGGTGACCATAGACAGCAGTTTGCAGAGGTGGATGATGTGCCGGTGGTGAGGACTTTAGCTTTTGTTAAAGGAGGAAAATGTATCAGAATAAAACAGATGAGAACATAATCTCAGAATAACAAGAACGGGTACAGATAATCTAGTTCAGTTTTTTCTCAACCTGTGTGGCAAGGAATACCAGTCACACAGAAAAGATGTTCTGAGGGCCAACGAGAAATACGCCACATGCCACATTCTTTTCTTGGTCTTTCAAAGTTCAGCGTGTTAGCATATTAAAGCCCTGGGACATGGAGCACTAGAGAAAACCTGCTTAACCCAGCCACATCCCAACCAATCTGCCTACAGACAGGGCAGCTGGTTAATGTCATGCAGGCTGTATGGAGGGGGCAGTAGGAGATGAAAGTCAGCCTAGGTCCCACTCACCAACCGGAGGAAGGGACATTTTTCTCTACCATTACCTATACTTAATAGATGAGAAAATTGAGTCCAGAAAACTTAAATGACTTATCTGTGGTCATCTCGTGGCAGAACTCACACCAAAACTCAGATGTCGAGATACACTACTCCGTGCTTTTTAGCATTGTTTAGGTTCACAGTTCCTTTTATTTTTTAAAATAACTCTACCAAAAACTATCTGTTCATCACTCTTTAAAAGAGGAGATTCCTGTCCCTGTTCTGTCCTTCCCTCCGCCCCAGTCAAATAGAAAACAAGTGGGCTACCAATGGAGATGAACCCATAATTTAAGGAGGCAGTACATTGGTGTGTGGGTCTTTAAAACAAAAACTAAAGTCTAGTAACACTTCATTTATCTAGAAGTCACTTATTTGTATATTTGTTTACTGTCTTTCTCCCTCACGAGAAATTCATGACACAGAGGCTATGTCCCCGGTGAGCACAGTAAGTGTTCAATAAACACTTGCTGAATAGATGAATGAGTACTTTACAATGCTCTGGCCGTGACTCTGAGCCACACACTTCTAACGGTTTGATTAGTTGTTTCTAAGTTCACAACATATTTAGAATTAATAAAGTAGAAAAGGGGAAGGACAGCTAGAGACAGCACAGTGACAAAAGAGGTGACAGCTGACATCCCGGTACTAAGGGAAGAAAGGCAGGTGCAAGAAGAGATATGGTGAAAGTATAGAACACAACCTCGACAGAAAGCAATTCGGCAACATCCGTCAAACTCGCAGGTGTACATACCTACAACTAGGAAGTTACCTACAGACAGTCTCACTCGTAAATGAAAAACTTACATTCAAAATGATGTATAAAGTTATTCACTGAATCACTGTCTATAATAGAAAGACTAGCAAAACCTTAATGTCCATCAAAACAAGGACAAGTTGGATAAACTGGGGGGTGTGTGTGTGTGTTAAATTCGTGATGTGATATGGAATGGCTGGGAGCTTCCCTGGTGGCGCAGTGGTTGAGAGTCCGCCTGCCGATGCAGGGGACACGGGTTCGAGCCCTGGTCCGGGAAGATCCCACATGCTATGGAGCAACTAAGCCTGCGTGCCTCACAACTGTTGAGGTCCGCGAGCCTAGAGCCCGTGCTCCGCAACAGGAGAGGCCACCACAGTAGGAGGCCCGCCACCACAGCGAGGAGTGGCCCCCGCTCCCTGCAACCGGAGAAAAGCCTGTGCGCAGCAACGAAGACCCAAAGCAGCCAAAAATAAATAAATTAAATAAATTAAAAATATATATATATATGGAATGGCTGTTTAAAAAGCCCAAGGAAGAGTTTTATGATCTGAATGGAATATTTTCTAAGAGCAACATGTATACTGTATTGCCAGTTGACATTTTTGTGTAAAATACATGTATGTAAAATATTTCTGGAAGGGGTAATTTGGTTGCCTGTGGGTGAGAGGAAGAGGGAGGGAGATTATCTATGTGTATATGTCCTTTGTATTTTTGAACCTTGAAATGTGAAAGTATATTATATTCAAAAAAAAAGAATAAACGTATAGTGGTACAAGGCAATTTCCTTACAGAAAAAATAGCCTCCCATATATCATATTAAACCACATTGAAGTTATTGATCACGAGGTAGAACATTCATATTTATAATTATAATTCTGAGGCATTAAAAAAAGGTTAATTTCTAGTATATATTTTCTGAAGTAGGAAACTGTCACGGAGCTACGTGACAGTTAAAATTTATAAAATAATAAAAATAATGTAATCACATTACTGAAAGTTTGGAGAATAAAGATTAGGAGAGAAAAAAGAAAATCACCCATAATCTTACCACAGTAAAATAACCACTGATTGCTTTGGTATAATGTTTCCTTCCAGTATTTTTTCCCATCATCTATTATGAAAAATCATGGCAAAACTTTTAATAAGATCAATTCCAACCATAATACTTCTTGGTCTTATTAAAACAGGCACTGTGGGCTAACAGAGAAGGAATCAGGAAATCTTAACTTTAATTACAATTTGTTCTCAAAATCTCCAAATGACTCTGAACAAGTGGTTTTTCCCATCAGCGAGCTACTCTCCGGCTCTGCAAGGGCAATAGAGTTTTCCTTGAATGCCTCTCAAGATGAAGAGATAGGAAATGGCTTATGTAACATGGAAAACCCCTAGCTAAATGGAATGTGAATATTCAGGCTAGGATACAAAAATATTTTTTAAAAGCACAATTTAGGAAGAGTTCAGGCTAAGTTTGAGTTCCTTACCACCTCTTTGTCATGCTTGATATTTTTGAATTGGGGTGGTGGTGGTAGAGGGAAAGTTATCTTCAAAGAGAATTTCATTAGAAAATGGCTATAAAATTGGAGGATAGGGTTTAGCTGCTAGGTAATCCTGGGGCTCAATTCAATCCGCAGGATGTACACTGGAAAACAGATGAAATCCTGCTTTAAAAGTAATTAGGATTATTATTACTCTGGAGGGCAGACAAGGAAACGCTTAAGATGACAGATTTCATTCTGCTCTGCAAAACCATTTTTTCACTCTTTAAATGGATATTCAAGCCAGTCACGTACTTGCAATTAAGGAGAGCAGGGAGATCTAACAGAACGATGTCTGGTCTTGGAAACTGATAGGTCTGAATTGATCCTCACAATTAGGAACATTAAGTTAAATCCTGGCATCTGAGCAAAGACAGACAGACACTGGACTAAATGGAATATAGTTACTTAATGCCAGTGAGAGATGATCCAGATAAAATTGACCAGCTCTGTTCTTGCTTTAAAATCTTCCCTGGTCCACTGAGATCCAGGGAGGGAATGGTCTGACAAAGGACATTTTCCTCATGGATGAAGTGAGGGTACCTAATATCCCTATTACTTACCTATCCTCTCAAAATCAAATCTTGTCACTTGAATGACCACCACCACAAAAATATCTGCTTTATAGAAAGACTACAAGCAGCAGTGATGGCTAGATTGATGGTTTGAGTGGCCTTCAGCCATCCCTACAAACAGAACTGAATCTCTTCCATTTCATGGCTTCATAAACCATTCCTGAGTTTTTCACTTCCTCATTCAGTGCCACCTTTTTCTGCTTTAGCTCCACTGATGGGCACATATTCTGTAGGCAGGTGCCACCAGCCTAAACCCTCAACGATCACAGGGCTGGGGCTGCCTCACTCACTTGCTTTCTACACACCTCTCAGCTGTCAAAGTCCTGCTCCAAATAGATTAATCTAAACTGTTCAAACTCAGCTAGCGTTCTTTCCCTCTAAGTAAGTTTTTATCTAATACACACATGGCAAATATATTTATAGCCTATATTCAGAGTGTCAAGTACAAGATGCAGAGGAGAGAATGATAACTGTCTGGCTGAGGGGAAGGAAAAAATCAGGAAAGGAAATGAAGTTTAAGCTGGGTTTAGGATTTGAATGAGGGCAAGAGGAAGACAAGAGGTGTGAAATAGCCTGGCGGGACTGGGCAATGGGAAGGAGTGCGATCTTCCTGAAGAGACTCACGGCGGCGGGGAGGGAGTGGATAAAAGGGCTAGAAAGGCTAGGACTAGAGATCACAAACAGTCTTTTGTCGGGCTAAGAGATTTGGATTTATCTTATGTTCAGTCAGAGTAAAAGCTGGCATTAATTGAGCACTTATTACATTCCAGACACTGCACTAGGTGCTTTCTGTGAATTATTCATTTAAGCAAACAGCGACCTTGTGAAGTAGGTACTATCGCTGCTATTATCTCCATTCTAAATGTGAAGAAACAGAGACTAAGAGAGGGTATAACATTTACCCAAGGTGAGAATGGGACTTCTTGGGAATAATGTTGGGGCAAATGGGACTTTTCTGAAATACTGTTGGGCAAGACCTGAAGGCAGGAAGCACAGTTGGGAGGCGACTGAATTCTTTCCCGTGAGTGATGCTGAGGGTTGGGATTGTGTGGTGGCGCTGCGTGTGCAGTGGGGTGCAGGGCCTCAGAGCTCCAAGTCAGCTGTGGATTTCTGTGAACTGATAAGGCAGGGCCGGTGTGGCAGAGGGAAGAGTCCAGGATGTATCCCAGCACTGGCGGTGGGACTGGTGGAGCCACAAGCAGAGAGGGAGGGGTGGGAGACAGCTGGTGAGGGTGAGGAAGCCAGTTTGGGGCGTACTGAGTTTGAGGCACCCACAGGACCAGCTTCACTATACAGCTCTGCTTACCTACTACGCACCAGAAACTGTGCTAAGGCAGGTCCCCAGCACCCAGGAAGCTCACCTTTAGTAAGAAGACAGATAAGCAGCCGGCTGGTATATAAATGTGAGGATCATGAAAATAATCACTTCATTCCATTCTTTAAGTACTTACCACAGTCAGTCTAAGAGTGCTTTTCTTATATTATCCCAATCCACACAACTCTTTTAGGTAAATACATGAAGTGTAGTAAGAACAAATGCTTATGTGCGCGAGGTACTTTGTTCGCATGCATGAACCCATCTAACCATCGGTAACCTTATGAGTTATTATTGCCCTCATTTTACAGATGAGGAGACTGAAACACAGAGAGACTGAACAACTTGCCCAGGTTAGACAGCTAGTAAATGACAAAGCTAAAATTTGAACCCAGGTACTCTGGGTTCATTTTACAGATTACGAAATGGAGACTCACAGAAGTTCAAGTAATTTGCCCCAACCAATCAAGCACCTAATTAGAGGTGGAGGGAGGATTTGAACAAAGGCCTGGTGAACAACAAGCTCCTGCTGTTAACCCCTGTAATAAGTGCAATTCTAGAAACCCACGCATGCGTGACGGTGGCACAGGGAGAACCAGCAAAGCACAAATGGGGAATGTGGGGACCATCAGAGCTTTCACCAAGGAGGACATGCCTGTCTCAGCTCTGGAACAAACAGCAGGGATTCCCGAGATGGGTGAAAGTATCTGGAGCACACATGGAAGGATGATCTCTAAACAAGAGAAAAGGCTCTTCTTCCCAACACAGGACTGGAAGCAGTAAGGATAGGTACCAATGTAGACAGATTTGTAGGTATTCATATTCAAATCTCGTAGCTTCAATTTTCTCCTTGAAGTAGGAGGCAAGGTCATATGCTGAGAAGGCCTGGGATGAAGCATCTTGAAGAGAGTGAAGATGTGGATGATTATTGGGTAGAACAGGAGACAGTGCTGCCCAGGGATGTAGAAAAGGATCCAAGACAACTGGCCACTCACGACTGTCATGTTCATTTCAGACTTCAAAGATTACAGGTAGGTGACAGCCACAGGTTCCTTCCCTGCCTACCTTGCTCCCGAGTGACTTATAGTTACAATGAAAGGAAGTCTAAGACATCTATCAGCAAGGAGGTAAAAAACCCATCATACAGCCTGTTTTTGTACGAAGTATCTTGCATGGAAGGTTCGTTCAAGGCAGATGTGATGATATTCTGGCAGAAGGATCAGGAAAGCTTCTAGTCTGATGAGATAACAGAATTCTCTATTGGGTGGCAGGACACAGGACCGGAAAAAAATCCTAAGCCTAGAGTACAGCTCCAGTGGGGGTTAGATTATTCGACTTGCCAAAGTCGATTACCTCGTTTACGCAAAAAGGGTGGAAATGCTGTGCAATGGAGCTAACTGGTTCACGTGTCTTGAGGACTACTAGGTTGAAAACTACAGTTGAGACAAATGCTATCAGGCAGTTAAATCCACAGATCTCACTTTCAGTAGCAAAACCAGAGCTGGAGATAAATGTAGGAATCATCAGCATATGAGCCCTGGTAGTTAAAACCATAGAAGGGAGGGAAATAACACAATGGCTTCCCTGGTGGCGCAGTGGTTAAGAATCTGCCTGCCAATGCAGGGGACATGGGTTCAATCCCTGGTCCGGGAAGATCCCACATGCCGCGGAGCAACTAAGCCCGTGTGCTCTAAAGCCCGCAAGCCACAACTACTGAGCCCACGTGCCACAACTACTGAAACCCGTGCACCTACAGCCCATGATCTGCAATAAGAGAAGCCACTGCAGTGAGAAGCCCACGCATCTGCAACGAAGAGTAGCCCCCTCTCGCCGCAACTAGAGAAAGCCACGCGTAGCAACGAAGACCCAATGCAGCCAAAAATAAATTAATTAAAAAAAAAAAAAAAAGAAAAGAAAGGATAGAGTGGGAAAAGAGCATGAAGTTGTAGCTTTTATGAGACTACTTAATCAGGTCTGCCTCAAATTCTTATCTCATTATCTTTAGAATCCACATGACAACATGTAAATGTCCAAATCGCTATTATGAGGGGAACCCAGTTTCGGTACCTACCTTATATTTTGAAGTATCCCAGTTGTGGACTATGCGGGCCGGGATGAGAAAACTGTCGTCCACGTGGCAGCTGCTGCAGTAATACCACCCGCTGTAATTGCACACCTTGGCTTTCCCATTGGAAAGGCCTATGGATCGCTGGCATCCTGTTCAGGGCAAAAGAAAGAGTCGGTGATTGTTGTACTTCGAACACCACAGAACGAAGTTACACAATCCTCAAGCGAAACAAAAGTCTATGATAGGAAAGAAATTGCAGAGAATAGGTGTACAGATACGTCCCCTCTTTCCTAGCCTGGCAGCTCCCACCCCCTTCGCCTCCTCGGGGATTGCTGACATTGGTACTGTTTCTGGTCTCTTCTGATTCCACCTCTTCTGTGTACAGCGGCCAGAGACCAGTCTCTCTACAACCAACCCCCTTTCATCTCTTCGCTTCCTCCTCAGAAACCCTATTTCACCAGGCAATTGGCTGGGGGCTACTCATACAGGTTCTTACTTAACCCATGCAGCATCTCTATGAGCAAGATATTATGAGCTCTGTTTTACAGATGAATAAACTAAGGTTTTAGCCAGGTTAAGCATTTTGTCTTGAGGTCACCCAGCCAGTAAGAGATGGCGTTTGGGTTTGGCTCTAAGCTTGTCTGATTCTAAAATGATCCTAAAACCTGATGTGTAGCCTTCCTTGGCTGACAAAAATCAATGAAAGGAATGCGTCCTTTGATTGGTCCCCATCTCTCCTTTCCAACTACCTACTCCTACGACTCTCCAATGGGAACAGAACCTCTTTGCTGCAGTTAGAGGACTCTCCTCACTGTTCCCCAAATAAACAGGGTACTTACTCTACCCTCCATATCTTGGCACAATTTACTTCTCCTTTCATGACGCCCTCTTCTCTGATCTCTACTTTGCCAAATCCTGCCCATCACTGATGGCCTGCAAGTGATTGCCAAGGCCCTTTTCATGTTCCAGGAAGTCCATGATTCTGTCAGGACTGTCCTGGTACTGTCAGGGGACCTGGTAATAATCATGGCCCTGCCAAAAAGAAGCCATTATTTTCCTTTAGCTAGGAGGAACTACATTCTACTGACAACAGAAATTCTGTCATAATCAACACAAACGACAACATTCAGAACAGATAATCAGGATTATACAAACAGCATCGTTTTTCTGACATTTCTCATCCACTGATTTCATTTTAGAAACCCTCCCTCGTGGCCCATTTCATGGTTGGGTACCAAGACCTATACTGATCAAAGAAATCTCGCATTAAGCCTAGTTCGTAATATGGGTACAAAATAGATTACTCTTAATAATCATAGTAATAATAATATAACCAGTGTTGCAGCCCACTTCCATTAGAAGGAGCTCAAACATGTTTATTTAACAAACTGCCAGCCTAAGAATATACTTATTCCCATGTATCCATGAACGAAATCATCATAAAATTCCTAGAGCTTTCATTTCCATCACAAATAAAATGGTATCAGTCATCCAGCACTTTCACAGGGTACCCTCCAGAAAGAGAATTAGATCCTATTGTTTTTAGATACGACAGGTATTGAAAGACGGACAGGGAGTAAATATATCGGAATTATGCTTCCAGAGCTTAATACCCTTTCTTCCTGGGATAGCTATTTCTTTACTGTTGAGTAGCAACAAAACCCTAACAAGCTCCTGTTTCTCAGATTGGCTGAGGATTGAGATACGTGTGAAGGATAAGGAAGAACCAAACCCACCTGCTGCTTCTGTGGGGCGTGGGAGGTGCTGTCACGATCTCTAGGCTATGAACACTGGAATGCCATGTGCTGCGCCCACTGACCGCGCTGCTTATGCGGCATGTAGTGCGTGCGCCCCCTTAAACACTGCACTTTCTGACGTGCTTGTACAACCCTGACCACACGACAAACTGCTCAGATGTATTTTTTATCCTTAGTACTTACTGTAGCACTTTACATATGATAGACCAGCAATAAATGTTTATGTTGAAGAGACGATAAACTGAATATTATCTGGCACATAAACACCCTCATGCATATGAAGAGATTTTAACTTCCCAGAGCTATTCTGGAACTGATCCTTCTAACCTGGTCACCTGCCTCTTGAAAACAGCCTACTTTGGTGAATATCCCCGTGCAAATATGTTGCCCCTTCTAAGAATTACACATTAGACACGTTCGTAGATGGACTGTGAAACAGAGTTGAGTAGAACTTGACACATTTTAGACACTGCGACACTGTTTCCAAAATTTAGTGGACAGTGAAACTGACAACACTGAAGTGACAATGAATAGAATTCAGTCTTCCCTAATGATTCAGAAAATGAGCGTGATCGTATAGAAATTCAGGATCATCATTATAGCTGAAACTCTCACCATAAAACACTGCAAAAATAAATTTGTTATTTTAGTGTTTTGCTTGTTTGCACTTTGGATATAATAAACAGTAAGCATTTGCTGAATGTTTATATATGCTTTAGTAGGTCCTACTGGGTTTATTATTCTGTAACTTTTAATGACTTTATTATAATCTCCTAGGTGCAGCATACATAGGCAATATTAAAATACACAAATGTGCATTTATTTTTAACATCTTCATTGGAGTATAATCGCTTTACAATGGTGTGTTAGTTTCTGCTGTATAACAAAATGAATCAGCTGTACATATACATATATCCCCATATCCCCTCCCTCTTGCATCTCTCTGCCCCCCTCCCTATCCCACCCCCACAAATGTGCCTTTTAAGAAAGCATATAGCCTACAAATGTGTATATCAACCGGGCACACAGGCCCAAAGCCTAACATGGTGAGGGTTCAACTAAATAAGCTAAACATCCTCACTACTTTGCATAGGTCTCCAGGCTCATAAAAGAGAGAAAGGCTGAGAGAACATGGCTGGGGTTCATGCCCATTTTATTTTTTTTCACACTTAATTTTTTTTTTATTCTGGTGCAGAATGTTATCAACGTCTAACCTTCATTCTAGAGGGTAATTCAGAGAGGGGATGTCAGGAACCAACTATTCCCAAGGCCAACCCTGTCATGCAGGAACCTTTGGGCCATACCACCCCTGGAGCTTTAAATATACCTACCAAAAGGCTTCTGTGAGTGCATTTCTCACCACCACAATCAGAAAACACTAGAGATAGCACCCCAACAAGATGACGTCTATAGTTAAAAAAAAACAAGCTCCAGAGTGAGATTACAAACCAGTCACATGAATGGTAGCTGGTTGTCAGTTGACCGACCCCTGCTAGGTCTTAAGGTAAATCTGTCATTGGGGCCACCTCGCCCTGGCAAGATGGGGTTAGGTCCTGGAAGGGGGCCAATTGGGTCAAAACGTGGTCTGAGTGGATGAAACTGTCTGAGTGTCTCCCTAGGCTCAGGGATGAGTGAATTCATTGGATCCCCAGCATAAGGAAGGGTTAGTCTTTCATCATATTCACCACCAACAATTCCTGGAGGAAGGAGAGAACTGGGAGGAAAAGGTCTGGGGTGCAAGGGGTTGGGGTAGAATGGAATGGGGTGGGGTGACGATGGCAGGAACATCACATGCCGCCCTCTCTGAGCTTCTTTTCTTTGTTTGTGCCTCTCCTTGTACAGTTCTTTCCAATCTGTGTCTCGACCTCTGGCAGTACCATCTCGAAAATTCCGCAGATATAAACACCTCCACAGAAGTTGGTCATTTGAAGCAATACAGAGGTCATGACAAACTGCAGACAAAGACAGGACAGAACGAACAACCAAAAGTCGGAAGATCTGCAGTTTCAGCTCCAATGGGAGGACTACCAACCCAAATACATCTGTTAGGTTCAGTGCTTGTCGGGTAAAAGCCAGAAGAGGATACACCAGCTGGTCCTTGAAGAGGCGAGAGAGCTTCTGAAGATCTTCGTATGTCTTGGCTACATTTTCCCCTGATTCCTCTTTGCAAATAAAAGATGATGGCAGCAGCTGCATTCTTTTCACACTTCTAATCTCATTGTTGATTTTTAGTGCAGCATTTTTGAAGATGAGGTTTCCCAAAGGCACACAGGTGACGGCAGCAGAGCCACCCTCGCAGAGAGGATGTGTGTACTGCAGCTTATACATGCCCCCCGACCTCCAGTTCTCCAGCATGGACACAGCTTTGGCTTCAGTCCCCTGAGGTATGTAACCCGACTCCAACACGAGGAGATGTATGGATACTATCAGGGCATCCCTGGGGTTAGAACAGTCAGCTGACTGATACAGGGTCTCTGATGAATGTGGCACTTGCCCTTCCACCGATTCGCTGCAGAGCATTGGTTCTGAGGGATAGAAACCTGTGCCCTCTTCCATAACCACAACATCTGGAATTGACTCAGCTTCAAAATTCTGACTAGGCCCTGACCCTCTGCCATCATTCCAGACATCAGATTGGGCTGCCTGTCCTTGGAATGAATCACGCAGTTGTTCATCCTGCATGCTGGACTGACTGGAGCTGGCGGCCAAAGAGGGTTGGTCATTATTCTGGAGCGAGGTATGCTCTGAATCTGTGGATGAAGGTAAGTTAGGTGCTGCAAAGGCATCTTCAAGAATCAAACATATCAAGTCCCCAGAAACAACCCCACATGAAGCCAAGGTCTCTTTGTGAGGGCATCCTTGTTGTTCAATGTAATTGCAAACCGGGTATCAGAACCTGGAAGGGATGGGAGCCCCAGAGACGCCGGGCCATGACCTCCGGGAGCCAGGAAGCCGCAAGCTGCAGCCTCAGCGCCCACTTGCCGCCTGGCCTGCACATCACAGTCCAGGAGCGCGGGCCCCACGCCGCCCCGCTCGCCGCCCGGCCTCTTATGCCCATTTCAGTTGAAACAGAAGCAGCAGCACATAAACTCATACGTCTAGTCCTTGGTGTCTCTACCTTTATAACTTATTTAGGACCATGCTCTCCTACTCTTGATGCTGAAATCGCCCTACGAAACTGAAGAAAAGGAAAACCTCATCCAAAACGGAGGCAGAAAGCCCTGAAAGGGGAGGTCTCAGGCACATTCCACTTGTGGCAGCTTCCTTTACATAGCCTAGCACGAAGAAGGAAGATTTTCTCCTTGCCCAGCAACAACCCAGCCAATGAGAAGCCACCACAACCCTGAATACTCACAGTCCTCCAATGAACTTTCCTTCAAAGCAGCTCCTTC